AGAGCTCCTTGGAGGAGAGTCTTCCTGGAGGAGGTGGCATTTGAGCTGAACAATGAAAGCAATAAGATTGGGAATGGTGGGAATGAGACGGAGGAATGGCATTCCTGGTAGGAGCAGCATGAGCAGAGGCCTGGGTGCTGGAAAGCGTGGGCGTGTGCCAAAGGGAAGAGAAGTACAAGCAGCTGAGATGGGCAGTGGAAGGTGAGGCCAGATAATGACATAGGAGGAGGGGAAGAGGCCCCAAGGAAAAGGAACTTCCACTTAAGTGTTTGATCCGTGCCAGGTACTTCACACGCACAAGGTCATTTAACCCCTGCAAAGGCCAGTGAGGCAGATTTTAGGACCCCCATTTTACATATAAGGAAACTGAGGCACAGGTTGGTGAAGTGACTTGTCCAAGGTCACACAGCTGACAAAGGGCAAAACGGGATTTGAAATGAGCTCATCTGATTCTTTCCTCCCTGATGGGAGTACTTGCCCCTGGTTTGTGCTTGAAGGGGGTGCATGTTGGTGGGGCATATGCAGGAAACTAGGAGCTGGGGTCCAAGACACCCAGAGGCCTGAGTGTCTTCCTCCACACTGTCTCAGGGCCTGACAGCTTCGTGACCTGGGAGCCTCCCTCTGCTCACCGTCATGGTCCTAGAGCCCTGGCCTGAGGGGCAGGATGGCTGGGTTCTAGTCTGGGCTCCCTTCACCTCTCTGAGCCACAGAGTACAATGGCTATAATGATTTGTAAAGGGACCTCAGAGATCTCTTACTTGCCCTTTATATAGATATGGAAACTGAGGTCCAGAGAGGGAAAAGAACACCCTTGATGATGCACAACAAGCTAGGCTTAGTGCAGCCTTCATCTTGGCCTATGCCTGGGTTTGCATCTGATGGCTGGAAGCTGATGCTGCCAAACAGAGGGCCTGAGCCCCGGACGCAGAGGGTAGCAGAGGGCCCAGCTGGGCCCCCTTGGACAGCCCAGGCCCTTGGATAATGTGTTCAAGTTTCAGTTCCCAGTGAGGTGTGTCCCAGGGATGGGGTGAGTGTGTGGAACTGCAGGCTGGGGGGAAGGGAGGGAGGCTTAGCAGGACCTGCCCCACAGGCTTTCTGGAGGCTGGACTCACCAGAGCAGAGGGGTCTGCAGGCTCCAAGCAGAGCAGTGACCTGTCCAAGCCTCTTGCTAGACTGTCTAGACTCAGGTTCCCCCCATGGGCCAATTTGGCCTCGAAGCTGCCCCAGCAGCTGTGGCAAGTCCTACACGTGGATCCGAAAGCAGGCACCATTGCCCAGATGCTGCGACCCCACTGACATGCAAACACCTGAATGTGCTTGGGCAGAGACGAGCAGAAGGTTACCACAGTCCGATCTGCAGGGCTCCCTGCGGCAGGAGCGTGTTATTTCTGCTGGGGATTTTTACCAGAACCCTTTCTGTAATCCTCAGGCCATGGCTGGGGTTTAGTAATGAACTGTAACAGCCGGAGAACTTGGTTCTGTGAGCTGAGAACAGCTGCTCATTCTCAAATGAGTCCTCTTTTCCTGATGACTGAGTTCAGCTGTAGCAAAGGGGTCGGGGTAGGGAGCAGGGATCCAGGACAAGAACAGCAGCAGTGCTCACACAGGGCCAGAGCCCAGCACCGCTTTTATATAGATGGAGCCTCGGAGGCCCAGGGCGGCTGTGAGGTTGGGGGCAGCACAATGCCATATGCAGACTGGACTGTGGGTATGGCAGAGCTGAACAAGGGGTTCCCCAGAAGCAGGCTCTTACCTGAGGATTCATGTGCAAGTGATTTATCCAGGAAGTGCTCCCAGAATGAGCCAGGAAAGGAGTGGGGCACAGGAGGGATGGGGGTGGGGAGGGGGGAGGGGAGAAGATAAATGGCGCCATCTCTGGCCTGGTCCTGCAGAGGGTAGCTTCAGTCTGATCCTGAGAGGGGCTCTGGAGTGTAAGTTACATCTCAGCGTTGTCAAAACCCCGGGCAAGGGAGCTGGGCTTCCATATTCCCTGCCCCCATCAGTCAGCACCACCCAAGGTGCTGAGTACAAGGGGATCTGAGTACAGCTTCCCAGAGGAGTGGCCTTGCGCTGTGATGCAGAGCAGGATGTGCAGTTTCTGCCGAGGAGAAGGGTCTGAGCAGGACCCAAGGGAGGAGCTCAGGCACGCGGCCGGAAGGCCAAGGTGGCCATATTTAGGACAGGCCAAGGAGGAGCATGGAGCTCGGAGGGATGGCTCAGCTCCCGGCAGGTTGCAGGTGAAGTGCACTCAACTATTTCAGCAAAGGTCCCAGAAACCACCTCCGGAAACCCCTCTCTCATTTGCCGCTGTTTGTGGCCAAAACCCTGAACTGTGACGAGGAGGGTCAAAGAGCTCAGGTGAGAGGTAGAACAGTCTTATTCAGACAAAACCGTTCAGAAATGAGTCACTGGCCTGACCTGGGCCCCAAGAGGCTCTGCCAACAACAGCTCGGGGGCCCCAGGCGAGATGGGCATCAGGCTTGGGCCCAAAGTGTAGAGCCACTAGTTGGCAGCCCAGGGAGATGGATCTGTGTTAGTGGGAACTCCTGTCCCTTTACTTGACCCCACTTCCCTTCTCTCCATCCCTCCAGAGAGGCCCCACCTGACCTCCTGGCCTCTAGCCTCCTCTCCTCCAATCCAGTCTCCTGGAGTTGCCAGAAGGTCCCCTCTAAAAAGCAAATCTGGTCCTGTCCCTTCCCTGCCTGCCACCTTCCCTGGCTCCCCACTGCGCTCAGGAGAAAGACCAGAGCCCCGGTGCTCTCCCAAGTCCTCTCCTGTGATGACGAGGCTTAGCCCGCAGGGACTGAGATCAGCAAACTTGGGGCAGAAATCAGGAGTCTCAGCAGCTTCCCAGAGCCCACAGGCCAGGGCGGCACTGGCTTCAGCGCAGCTATCCGGGAAGAGGGAAGGGCAGCCCCGGACCCGCCCCAGGGCCTCGCTCTCCGCTTTGCCTCTGTAATTAATTTATGGAAAGCATCTAAACTGGGAGCCAACACAGTCCTGCAAACCTCGTCTAACCCCTGCCTCCACCGGAGGGAGCAGCGCCCTTGGGGTGGAGCTTTTCTTACAGTGATTACATTTGGTTTTATTTCTGGAAAAAAACAAAACAAAAACGAAGCATTTAAGGTCTAATTTCCCCAATCACCTGCGTAATGAGGAGGCTTCCAAGGGGTGTTTGGTGAGGCCACAGGGAGCCTTGCAGTCCTGCAGCCCCAGGAGGGCTTTGGGGACTCAGAGTCTAGCTCATCAGAAGCTCCTCTTGGCTCTACCTTTGAGCACAGCCAGAATCCGACCTCCTCTCTCCCTCTGCTGCCTCCACCCTGCTAAGCCACAGTCACCTCTGCAATGGCCCCCTGGCCATCTCCCTTTCTCTGCCTTGCCGTGCTCCAGTCTCTGCTCCCAGGCAGCCACAGCCAAGCCCATTGCTCCTCTGAGAAGCTCTCCCAGGGCTCCCCGCTCCCTGGGGTGATGCAGGAGTCCTGCCAGGCTCATTACGGCCACACAATGCCCTCCGACCTCACTGCCTCCCTGGAATCCCTTGATGTTGCACACTCTGCCTACCAGCACCCCTGCACTAGGTATTCCCCCTGCCTGGAACGTCCTTCCCGAGATCCGATATCTGCAAAGTCTGCACCCTCGTTTCCTACAGGTCTCACTCAAAAGTTTGCCCTTCACAGCTTCCCTGATTGTACTCATGCCCCGTTCATTCTCTATTCTCCTCACTCTGCTGTATTTACCCTCTTACCACTCATCACCTGAAATATCCTTATTTTCTGACTTATTGTCTTGTTTCCCTCTATTCTCCACCAGAATGTCAGCTCTGAGAGCAAGGGATTTGTTTTTGTTTCAACAGTGAAAAATTTTACGTTTAGAATTAGCCAGCTGGACTCAGTTTTGACGATCTCAATTTTGTTGGCAACATCCAAAGCATCATAGTCAGGAACCAGTCGAACATATGCCTTCTTCTCTCCACCGGGCCTGGTCAGGGTGTTGACCTTAGTTATGTCAGTGTCACAGAGCTTCTTCACAGCCTGTTTAATCTGGTGCTTGTTGGCCTTGACGTCCACAATGAACACCAGTGTGCTGTTGTCTTCTATTTTCTTCATGGCTGACTCGGTGGTGAGGGGGAATGTGCTCTGATGGCATAGTGGTCAAGCTCTTTTCTCCCAGGGGACGTCCTTCCGAGGCTATCTGGGCTGCCTCCTGAGCCGCAGTGTTTTGGGCCGTTGGAAGGTGGGTGACGTCCGGGTCTTCTTTGTGTGTGGCTGTGGACAGACGCCTTTCAACGCTGCTTTCTTGGCCTTCAAAGCCTTGGATTTGGCTTCGGCTTCCACTTTGGGAGGGGCAGGGGCTTCCTTCTTCGCCTTCGGCACCATCTTCGTGAGAAGGCGCAAGGGATTTGTTTTGTTCGCTGACACATCTCCAGTACTGAGACAAGTGCCTGGCACATAGCCGATGCTCAATAAACATTAATCAAATGAATGAATGAAATGCATCTGTCATGTGACAGAGGGGGTGGGCAGAGATCTCTGAGATGTTCTGGGGGCATCCTCTCTGGGTGCGTGGAGTCAGCCTGACCTTACCTCCTGCAGGAAGTCTTCTGTCCTGGTTCTAAATGAAGTTCTGGCTGCAGGTGGCAGCTCTGATCACTCAGTAGGACTGATTTTCCTTTGGTGCACACATCACCTCTTCCAGGGAGCCCTCCCAGAACCCTTTCCAACCCTCAGGGAAAGTTTGTCCTGCCCACCCCTGGCCTGACACTTTCTCCCTTGTGGTCTGTTTTGGGTGTTGGTGTCAGGCTGAGGTCCCTGGCAGGCACCTGACTCATATCCAGAGAACACCTGGAGGGCCACTTCAGCTCACGCTTTACAGGGCCTCTCGTGGGGCCTAAGTCACACCTTCTCCTCACTCAAGCCTCAGAATAACCCTCTGAGGTAGTTATTATTATCCCCATTTTACAGATGAGGAAACTGCGGTCAGAGGCCACAGAAGTGACTTACCCAAGTCCCACAGCTGTGTCACAAGGTGGAGTGCAGCCGTGCTCCGTGGCCTCAAGGCCAGCCCCACTGCCTTCAGCATGGTGCTCAAAAAGGGTCTGGGGAAAGAAGGGAAGGACAGACCTGAGTTCTGGGTCTCCTGAGTGAGCGATGAAGATGCTGTAAACACAGCATGCCACTGCTGGGCTGGTCCGTGTGGCCCATCCTTGCTCAGCCAAGCCCTCCTGGTGCTCTGTGCAGGGAAAGAAAAGGTAGTAACTCTCTCTTCCAGAGGGCCCCACGGTGGGTGTGGGGATGTAAAGAAGTTGCATAACCCCACCCAGTGCCCATCCCTCATCCTCAGCCTCTCCCTGGGGCAAAGACAAGGCCCAGAAGAGTTGACTGATGAGCCAAAAATTAGGGACAGAGCCGGGACCAATGACTCTTGACATCAGTCCTGTCTTTTTCTCTGATTCCACCTGCTGTGTCTGCAATGCCTATATCCCGAGGACCCAGACCTCAGTTTCCTCATTTGTAAAGTGGGAAAATTGTACCTATCTAATAGGATCAAAGATTAAATGAGGTAACACAGGAAAGTGCCCGGCACAGTGCCCGGCAGAAAGTAAATTCTTAACAATCAGTGCATATAGTTATTAGCTGGTTCCAAGAGAAGCGCCTATGTTGCATTATCTTCTCCTTCCCTGCCTTACAAATGGTGTCTCACAGGTCTACAGCTGCAAACTTGGTTGTTAGAAGAAGACCTATTTCTTTAGGAAAAATAAAATAAAATAAAATAGTAGTGCCCCATTGTGGAGATGGTATGACAAAACTAGCACAGCGTGGCTGCATTTTGTGAACATTTTAAATATGCAAGGTAAATATCTTATGAATGTTAAATATTAATAAAGTCTCATTTTCTCTGAATTCTCCCACCTTTTAAAATGTATGTCAAGAAACAAATAACTTCAAAGCTGTCCAGTTAAGCGAGCTGTCAACTGGATTTACAATATTGCCACGTAGGGCATTTTTTTAACTGGTAAACTAATGTTAAGTGTCTCCTCTCGTCTTTTGTCAAGATTAGTCTCAAATTCGGAGAATTTTGAATTATGCCCCGGCAGGACTAGACCCTTCCTGGAATAAGGTGCAGTGGTCCTACACACACCTGTATGTCAACCGGGGCCAACCATTTGGAAATGGCACTTTGACAAAACCCATCAAGAACCATAAGAACCATTTATATACTTTGACCAGTTATTTACTGAGGAATTTATCCTAGTGAAATAATTTCAAAAAAGCAAAGCAAAATGTAAGCACATGAAGATGTTAACTGCAATGTTGTATACAGTTGAGGAAAATGGTAAACACACTCAATCTACAACAAGAGTGGAATGATTTAGTAAATTATGCTTGAGCCCTTGATGGTTCTTCAGCCAATAAAAATGATCATTTTGAAGACTATGTAACAGCATAGATAATGTTTATGTTCAAAGGTTTCATATCAAAGGAGAAAATGCAGAACTGCATTGAGACTCTGGTCCCTACTGTCAGGACAACTTTCTTTCCTTGTTGTCTGGTCCTCACAACAGCCCTCTCAGGTAGACAAAACAGGGTCATTATTTATACTCCTATTATCCAGGGGAGGAGAGACCACAGGGACTCAGATTCTGAACTGGGACAGCTCCTAACACAGAACCTAGTGCTGCCTCAGAGGAGCGTGTCCCTGACTGCGGGCCCAGCAGCAAGCCCCCAGCTCCTGAGTGAGGACAGTGTAAGACAAAGCCCAATTCTCACATACCCTCCCATCTCATCCAGGAGGGGTGGCCCCTGGGGCTTCCTCTTCTTCCTTCTCAGGCTGGGATTTCCCCTCTTGGGCAATTTGGAAGAACCCCAGGCCCGGGTCCCACCTTGCTCTGAGCTGGGCTTATAGGAAGCCCCTTGTGCACAGCTGACCCATGAGGTCATGTGGGAAAACCCTTAGAAACTCTAGTACGTGCTGCAGGTGCTGCTGTTCCGATTATTAAAAACAAGTGTTAATGTGAAATTTTTCCATCATGCAGACACTGTTGGTAATAATATAATCAGCGCTCCCCTCTCCATTGCCACCTTAGGAAATAAAACCTTACGGGGACACTTGAAGCTTCCTGGGTGCGCCTTCCTGATCCCACCCTCTACCTCTGTCACAAAGGTAACCCAAAACATAAAGGGACGTTTATCTATAAATATTAAGTAGTATTGTTTTGCATGCTTTTAAACTTTCAATATGTGGCTTCATATTGTCTTCTATTCATTCAACAAATTCACTTGGCAAATATTTATTGAGTGCCTACTGTATATGAGGCACCCTGGGAATATCAGTGAACAAAACAGACAAGATCACTACTCTTGTGGTGTGTACATTCCCATGGGGTGAACCAAACGATAAGCAAAATTTATGAATTAGAGATAAACTGTATGTTAGAATGTGAGAGGTGCAAAGGGGGAAAACAAGCCAGAGAGGCGGGGGTGGAATGTTGCAATTTTAAGTAGGATCATATCCTTCTATATCTTGCTCATTTACTCCATATTATCTTTTTCTTTTTTATGAATGTACCATCTTTATTCGTTGTCTTGTCAATGAACATTTAAGATTTCTTTTTTTTTTTGGTCATTATAAACAATATTACCATAAGCATTCTTGTAAAAGTCTCTTTGAGTACACTCAGAAGAGGTTTTGGGGGTATAGGTTTGCTGGGTCTAGGGCATCTTCGACTTAACTGAGATAGATGGTACAAATGGCTCTAACTAAGGTGGTTGTACCAATGATTCCCACAAGCAGCGTATGAAGGGTCTAGTAGAGGAACTAGTTCCTCTACCTCTTCTCTAACACTTGGTGGTGTCAGATTTTTTTAAATACCTGCTAATCTGACAAGTATAAAATACTATATCTTTGTTTAAAACTGAATTTCCCAGATAACTACAAAGGTTGAGCATATTTTCATAAGTTTATTCATCACCTGTGTTTTTTCTTTAATGACTAGGAATTTCATTGACTTTTGCCTATTGGTTTTACACCCAGTAATCTTGCTAACTAATAACTGGTCTGTAGATTCCTTTGGGTTTTCTAAATAGACAATCGTATCATCTGCAAACAATGACAGTTTATCTCTTTCTTTTCAAATGTATGCCATTGATTTATTTTCTTTATTAATTTATTTAAAAACTTCTACCACTAAATGTATTAATTTATTTAAGAAAAATAAGTTCAAAAGTACAATGCTGAACAAAAAATGTTATAGTGGGCATCCTTATCTTTTCCTGATTTTAAAGGAAATGTTACTATTGTTCGCACAAGTAATATTTCCTTTAGAAGTTTTTATAGATATCCTTTATCAGTTTAAGGAAATTCCCCTTTATTTCCAATCTGCTTAGAAGGTTATCATCAATCATTATATACTTTTATCAAATACCTTTTCTGTGTCTGCTTAGATGATCATACGTTTTTCTTCTTTAATCTATTAATGTGATAAATTAGCTCTATAGATTTTCTAATATTAAGCCATCTTTGTATTCTTGGAATAAACTCAACTTGGTTATGGTACATTATCTTTTTTTTTTTTTCAAGAAGATGTTGGGGGTAGAAGTTTATTAATTAATTTATTTATTTTTGCTGTGTTGGGTCTTCGTTTCTGTGCGAGGGCTTTCTCTAGTTGTGGCAAGTGGGGGCCACTCTTCATGGCGGTGTGCGGGCCTGTCACTATTGCGGCCTCGCTTGTTGCGGAGCACGGGCTCCAGACGCGCAGGCTCAGTAGTTGTAGCTCACGGGCCTAGTTGCTCCACGGCATGTGGGACCTTCCCGGACCGGGGCTCGAACCCGTGTCCCCTGCATTGGCAGGCAGATTCTCAACCACTGCGCCACTAGGGAAGCCCGGTACATTACCTTTTTTATATACAGTTGAATTATTTTAATAATATGTTACTTAGGATTATTACATCTAAATGTATGAGTGAAATGGGCCTGCAATTTTCCTTTCCTATGCTATACTTGTTTACATTTTTAATTTAGTTAATTAATTTATTTATTTTTGGCTGCCTTGGGGTCTCCGTTGCTGCACACGGGCTTTCTCTAGCTGCGGCGAGCAGGAGCTACTCTTCGTTGTGGTGTGCGGGCTTCTCATTGCAGTAGCTTCTCTTGTTGCGGAGCACAGGCTCTAGGCGCGCAGGTGGGCTCAGTAGTTGTGGCTCGAGGGCTCTAGAGCGCAGGCTCAGTAGTTGTGGCGCATGGGCTTAGTTGCTCCATGGCATGTGTGATCCTCCCGGACCAGGGCTTGAACCCGTGTGCCCTGCACTGGCAGACGGATTCTTAACCACTGCGCCACCAGGGAAGCCCTGTTTAATTTTTACATTAAGATTATACTGTCCTCGGGCTTCCCTGGTGGCGCAGTGGTTAAGTGTCCGCTTGCCAATGCAGGGGACATGGGTTCGTGCCCCGGTCTGGGAGGATCCCGCATGCCGCGGAGCGGTTGGGCCCATGAGCCATGGCCGCTGAGCCTGCGCGTCCGGAGCCTGTGCTCTGCAACGGGAGAGGCCACAGCAGTGAGAGGCCCGCGTACCGCAAAAAAAAAAAAGAAAAAAAAAAAATTATACTGTCCTTAAAGAATGAATTTGGGAATATTCCTTATTTTTCTATTCCCTGGAAGAATTCATATAAGATTGGCTTATCTATTCTTGAAATATTGGTATAATTCACCTAAAGCCATCTGGGCCTTGAATTTTCTTTGTGGGAATGTTTTCAATTATTGCTTCAAATTCTTTGTTTTAGGTCTATTCAGAATATCTTTTTTTTTTCAGTTTTGGTAGGAATTTATGTATTTCTATAATAGAAATATATATAAAAATATATAAAAGACTTCAAATTTGTTGGCATAATGTTGTCGACAGCATTCCATTATTATGTTTTTTCTCAGTAATCTTTTATTTGCAAATACAGCCACATGAAGATAAAACCTCCAGATGGTTGTGTTTTTATCATATTATCTTTTAAACCTGTTTTAACTATAGTTATGTTACTCTTTTCATGTATAATGTCATTTATTTGTATATTTTCTTTTTTTTCCCCTGATCCATCTTCCCAGAGATTTTT